TTTGGAGTTAGTTACGGTTATAAATTGCTATTTATGTATTTTGTAGATCACGTGAAAATAAAATATGCTAATTATAGCGATTTTTGGCTGGATATATAAACATATTTTTCTACGATCATGAGTTGGAATATGACAAACACCGAAGTGATAGATGTGGATATTTTTATCAAACATTGTGAAAGTGAAAATTGCTGTGTCTAGTACTGCGTATTATTTTAGAATCAATTAGAACTTTTTAGTAAGAAATCTCTAGTAATAACAACATAATTCTCCCATGAAAGAACATTTTTTCATCTAAGCGCTAAACGTTTAGTCACTCTTTTAAATTATAATCTTACTCGTTGATCAAATCTTTTATCAATCCACGATAATTTTTAAGACTATACAGGGCGTTTCAAATTCGACTCTCACCATTTGGACCTCGGAAACTGTAGGAGATACGAAGTCAGAATCAACAAAATGTCACTTAGAAAGTTTCTAAACCAAAAGCACTTCCAGAAAGAGATCGAAAAAAGCAAATTTTTCCAAAATCGTTTTAATTGCTTACTGACTTTAATTGTATTACGATTTAAAAATAAATTGCACTTTAACATTGGCACCTTTCTCCTCTACAAGATGGCATAATTAGAATTCCAATATGACGTTTCGTCTCTTGTCCTCCATCATCAACATTGGACGCCATATTTGATTTTTGTGCAGATGAATAGCTTTTAATTCAGATTTCAAAAATCTATAATTTGTCATACATTGCCATTGCCAACCATCGTCAATTTATGATTTATGACGTATTATATATACCTACATTTTTGAAATCAGAATTAAAAATTCAGTTCATCTCTGCAAAAATCCAGTATGGCGTCCATCAGAAAAAATAAAGTTGATGCTGAAGGACAAGAGAAGTAACGTCATATTCTAATTATGACACCTTGTAGAGGACAAAAATTGGCAATGTTGAGGTGCAAGTCATTTTGAAATCCCACTACAAATAAAGTCAGAAAAAAACTATAAACGAATTTATAAACTTACTAAGCGGCGCTTTCCGAGGTTCCAATGGTGATAGTCGAATCTAAAACACCCTGTATAGTTTTATATTTTTTTAATAATCGTGTTATATGTTGTTTGTAAAAAGCTTACGAAGTGTGTTTTTTTTTGTCGAGTAGGCGTTGCTAAATACATACTACTTTCCAAATTTTACGTTTCATACTTTTGCATTTACATGCACTAATTCATTGGTAGACACAACAAAATATTGCTGACCGCTGCGTGAGTTTTTAAATAATAAGCAAGCGTTACTTACCTACTAATTTAGGTCATTTCCAGAAATTTTTTTACGCCGATAGGTGGACGTATATCGTTGTTGATCTAAGATCTATGACTTTTTACAGTACCTACAATACTTCAAGGAAATATCCAGTGACAAGATCTTTCATACCGGATGATCAATTTGTATAATGCAAATATTTGCAGTTTGGAAGGGAAAAAGAAATATCTGGTATGGGTACGATCGGTACCCACAAGTACGTCACAAAAAAATTAATGTTGGCCTCAAATTGTATTTGCTATGTTTTTATTCAGTGTATTGTTTATTTACGATATAAAGTTCAATTAATTCGAAATCTGCACTAGAACAGAATGCTCAACATACGCGGAAGAACTTTTTTTTTTTAGTTTTTCGATGTCGAGTGTGATGGCCACCTCACTAGTATTTTTCTACATAAGTGTCTTTAATAATATAACAGGTAAAAAGTTCATTACGCAACTGTAATTGTGGTCATACTTTGAATATTAATGCACTTTCCGAGAACATTTCTTTCGAAGCTTGTTCTCTGAATACAAATTGTTACCGACCGCAAAGATGGCGAGATAACATATAAGTACAGTCAATAATATGCAGGAATAAGTAAAAACGTACTCCGCTCGGGTTACCAATCCTTTTATTTCTGCTCCTGTGTACATAGTCATGATTGTTCATTGTTTTTCATCGCAGGTTTTCAAAATTAGGGGGACATGAATTCTAAAGATTCACAATTTCCGAAATATTCGAAATTTTCAGTATATCCAAGCTTTTTCAAAGTTAAGTTAAAAACATTAATAGTTTAAAAATATTGGTAGTTTTGAAATTTTGTAAATGTTGAAAATCAATATTATTTTGTTAAATTGCCTAATTTTGAAATGTTTCGATAGCGACTGTAACAGCCTACCGTGAATAGCAATTGATATGAACGTTGCTCAAGGAAAGGTTGTTTGTTTATATTCCAAGGAGATATCATTCATGAAAATCACAACACTCTAACGGTAAATGACGGGATTCTCACAGATGTTCTGTTTGGTTATGATTTTTTCGCGTTTTCGCATTATTTTAACCGCATATTAACCGTATCATATCGACAACCATGATGTGACACACCCGTTTATGGATCAATGTGGTGACCTGAAATTACTAAGTGTTATCCAATTAAACAGCCAATGCATAATCAATTTAATCCATTAGTCTATTATTATATACACGTTAGATAAACCGGACAGGTTGAGCTAATGAAATTAATGGTAATCCCTTGCATATATGCTGAACGTCGAAATTAGCGCTCCACAGCTATGAAAGTTTTCTCAGACTTTTCGATTATGAATTAGCCGTTTTGCCCAATGATGAGCCGAAGTTTTTTTTCACGATTTCAAGGCCTATCATCAAGAAGCCTGTTGCCGCGAGAACCACCAAAAAGTAGTTATGCCAAGAAAAGATTAATTGATGAGTTAGAGAGATAACCCAAAACATGGCGTCTAAAAACGTGCGCTTTTTATTTGGCCAGATATAAGTGCGGTGTTGACAGATATAATCCTTTTTGGATGAATTAATTGTCCATCAGTTATCGTGAAAGCATGTTTTTGTTCAAATTTACTTTCTATTAGACTATTGGTGGGGATATTTATTTTCCGTTTGCAGCCTACGAAATATATTTTTCAATAATGTTATAAATCACACTTTTGCGAGTGCTCCCGTTTCATGTGAACAGAGATTACACCTGTAAGTCGTCACAAAGCTATTTCATTTTTAGAACTCTACATGATTTATTTATTATTACTTATTCTCAAAATCTGTAAGTTATCGCATGGCTATTTATTTTTTAAATATTACACGATTTAGTTTAGTAAGAAAGGAGAACGTCAGCGTGAAATTTAATATTTTCTAACATCAGACTACTTATTTGACCAATTGTCGTTGTATTTGACATGGTGGTCAGTTATCAGACAGCCTGGTCTTAAGACGATACATATAACTTTTTGACGTAACGAACAAAAATTGTGACAAGAACTCGTTCAGCTCAGTATAAATGTAACGTTTTCAAAACATTTTATGTCAGTTTGGCCTATGAGGGCATATCGTGTCATCTATTCTATAAGCGAATCGCCAAACCAAGGTCGATGCACTCATAGATCGGTATTTTTTGTAAACTAGTAATAGTCCAAGAGGTGACCGTAAAGTTTTGGTTGCATAGCGTACTGTTAAAAACTAGTCAAATATTATGTATGTTGATGCTAAACAGCAAACTAGGTAGGTTTGCTGTTGTAGAGTGGAAGTTCCTTTTTCATGCATTATCACAATTGATCTATATAATTTGCGACATAATTGCCTGAAGATTGAACGATATTTTTAAAGTCCTATAATGAGATTTGTTTCCCGCATACTCTTTTAACAATTTCCATGACTAAGAACTTTCTCTGTGCATAGTGTATTACTTTGTTTTAAAGGCTTTATGATGATTACCACCAGAAGTTGCACAAATAAGTATAACGCGCTAGTAATTTATGTTATATACAGGGTGTCCGCAAAGTTGGGGTTTTCCTTTTCAGAAACAACTACCCTTGAAATAACAAAGGTAATGTGTAGTGAAACGAGGGCGACCAAGTAAAAAAAAATAAAGGAAAAAGTACTCACTCTCCAGTTGACGAGAAGGGCTAAGTACGTCTCTGCCCGAAATCATACCGCTCCAACAGAAAATGAAATCAGCTGAAGCGCTACCGAGCAGACGCAGAAACCACATTGATTGTCTTACACTTAATGGCACATCTTCTAACAAGGAAGGCAAAATGTTGCATGAAAAGTCTAGGTATTGCATCCCGTCCAATCGATTTGGGAGAATAAATGGTCCAATGAGCATACCGTTCACCATGCCAGCCCAAACATTCACCAACAATGTTTGTTGAAAATGTGCCCGACGGACAGCGTGCGCATTTTCTACTGACCAAACATGAGTGTTGCGAAAGTTATTCACCCCATTACGCGTGAACGTAGATTCGTCTGTCACCAATATGTACTTCAAAAAGTCCGGATTATTGTCAAGTTGATGCAACAACCACTCACAAAACCGCACTCTTGCTGGAAAATCGTCAGGTTGAAGGGCTTGTACACGTTGGACGTGAAACGGATACAGCCCCTCTTCACGCAGCGTTTGCCACACTTTAGTTTTTGATACTTGCACTTCTCTAGCCACGTCTCTAGTGCTTGTTGAGGGATTCTCGTCTACGCGATTACCTCTACATGCGTGACCGTAACCGTCGGTTGAAGGTTGCATACTGACCTGACACACTGACCCCGACCCAGTTCTGCCGTCGGGTTGAGACCTTGTACCAATCGGTGATGTCCCGGGTCGCGGCTACAGGACGGTATTCAGATATTTTTGATGTTGCAGAGCCCTTTATCTCGGTGTATATGGTACTAAGAAAAATTGCTTATGTTTTCAAGATCTACACGTCGTGTAAAGGAAAACCCCAACTTTGCGGACACCCTGTATAAATTACATGAAAAATAAGAAGTTGTGTATGTAGTACTTTTGAACTTATTCAACTCAGAGTGTTATCCTTCACAGTATGATTCCTCTTGAACCGAAGCGCATTGGACAAAATTCCGTTGTACCATGGGTTGGGGAATCAAGTCCGTCTTCCGTCCCTGTCGATCTCACCTTGCGAGTCAACCTACTTGACATCATGTTCTTTCTTTCCAGGCAGCAGTACGGCGTGCGTGGTGATCCTAAACAAAGAAAACAGCACCCTGTACACCGCTAACATCGGCGACAGCGGGTACATGGTGGTACGACGTGGCCGGATAGTACGCAAATCGGAGGAGCAACAGCACTACTTCAACACGCCCTTCCAGCTCTCGCTGCCGCCTCCCGGGGCGCGCAGGGACGTACTCAGCGACAGGCCGGACGCGGCCGCGCAGGATAACATCCCCGTTGAAGACGGGGATGTCATCCTGGTAGCGACTGATGGGGTGTTCGATAACCTGCCGCATAATGTTATACTCAACGAGCTGCTCAAGGTCTGTATGCATGTTCCATCTATAAGCTTGGCCTGCATGTATGTATGTATGTACTCGGATCTATGTAACGGAATCTTTGAGCATAATTTTCACCAATTTCCAGAAGTTTGATTAGCTTGAAACTTCGCACACGTATCAAGGACTGATGACAAAACAATAATTCGATAACGGTTTTCCATTATCCTTGTCAGGCTCGCCAGGATTGATAAATTCTTTTATAGATCCTGGACCCACTATTTGTTGGTTTGGCCACTCGGCACATCACAACGGAGGCAGATACTTTTTCAAGGTAGTGCATTCTTACCTTGTTCATTGCGAATGTTGCCGTTGTTGGACAAGCTTATATAGCACTTAGTCGTGTAAGAACTTTAGGTATTCGGATTGAAGAACTTGATTGCTCTAAGTTAACGGAGCTCCTACAATCACGAGCACCACCTGCTGAGGTAACGGGCGGGTGAAAAGGAAACGAGGGTGGGTTGGGCCTAGACGGTTGTCGGCGCTACTTTAAAAGAGGAAAAGATGACTGCGGGTGCATACCAAGGTACATTTTTATAATAACAGAGTCGGATTTCGATTAGCGATCTAGAAGTAAATCGTTTCTTATTTTGGTACTCAGCAAGTGATCATTTACTATTTTTCTCCCCTTGTTACTGTTCGTCGAGATTGTGTTGTTGAATTGTTGTTGATGTGATTGTTCTTGAGTGCCTTTTTTTATCAAGGCTGATAATGGACAATAAAGGGTCATATGCGACCATTTAAATTACGAATGCAGTGAGTTTAATTTATGATGAGGTCAACAATAGTGTGGAGCAAAATACATTGGGGTAAGCGAATAAATTATTGCAAGAAGAGGTCATACCATGGAAGATGTGCTGCAGCTGTAGTGAGCCACAATACCCAGCGGCCAGTACGAGTATGTACACCTTAGGAAAAACCATTGTTATACATGGGAAATCATTTCTTGGCAACAGCGCATCGGCTCGTCTACTTTCATCGCTATTCGTACATATTTCCTACCGTTAACCGCAGACCTGTATCACGAATGAGAATAATAGGCAGATACGCTGTGTTGCCAATTTGAGTAGAGCTTCCCGAATTGTGGGGAATTTAGAGTTAAGTGTAGATTCATTCAAGCTTTTAATCAGCATGGCCTAGACGTTAGAACTTCATAAAGATAACATTGAAGCTGAATGCTGCTGGAGTATAGTGTTTCGAATATTCAAACCGGAGCGGGACACTATACTCGTTCAATGGGTCATCAAGCCACAGTCTTTTCAACAATGAAATTATTTTACGAAAATGCGTTATATTTTTACTCAACATTACGGATTTCTCGAAATACTTTAAAAAATGTGACCTAGATACCTAACTGCCCCAAGCTCTTTAAATATAACACCTTAAACCAGGGTTACCAGGTGCTCAGTCACGTTGATTGTCATGTTGTACTGCGCAAGTCAGCAAACAATCTGGCGTAATAAACGTTAGGAATCATCCGGTATTGCCAGATTCCCGAATACCGGGCACCATAGTAACCGTTATAGTTGTCCTTCAAAGTTGTCAAATCGCCCCTATGGCGCAAATTCGCCACACCAGGCAACTGTGTTATAAACAAACCCTGTTTATCACTACTATTTGATAGTCATATGGTAGTTGTAGCCCTATCTAGCGGTCCATGATTCCTCTCAATACTGTTGTATCTCTACTGGCAACAAGAATAGGGATTACAAAATCATTTATACAACAATATACAAACATGAAAAATATGATTTGAACCATGAAACATTAATAAAATTTTAATAGTTTGAACTTTTTTCATTTTTGGAATACTCTTATGTGGAATCCGCAGCTATTTTTCCCGAAATTTGGGTAGACTTAGATTTCTTAGAAATATGACATATTGGTATCGGCAACTCTGCGAATGGGAGAAACAAATCGCATTTGTTGAGCGCATCCGTCTAAGCGGTAGGCGCCAGCGCCCGTTCTGCCATCTCTCTCTTTTATCACTCTTCTACTTTACCCCGTTGTCCGTCACACTCCGACCCTGCCAGATAGGATCCTACAATCGAAAGTCTTTCACGCACCTACATACTTTTGTATATTTCCATCTCTCTTCCTCATCATAATGTGGTCTAAATACATTTGCGTTCTAAGCTTAGTCCAACCTCGCTTATGGCTAAGATGGAACAAACACTCAAACGCAAGAATCTTGAAAAGAAACTCGGACCAAAAAAAGCTGATACAAAAATAACTAACAATTCGGATAGCAATTCCAAAGAAAATATAATAGTTTTATGGCGAATTCAATCAAAAACCTGACATTAACCACATTGATTTGGAGGTTGCTAAGCGAACATTTTTAGGGAAACTTGAAAAAAGTGACGACGAGATTTTGCAGATCCAACAAGTCTCCAAATCACAGGACTGTACTTTGTCGCGCCTTCATCCGAGGATAAGGTTGACAGCGTCTCGATTTGGTGAAGTTTGTAGAAGAAGGCAGAAAACAAGCTGTAAAGTTCTAGTAAACTCCATCATATACCCAACAGAGTTTTCTAGTAATGCAATAAAAAAGGCAATACAAAAATCAGTGGACACCGCAGTTCAGTCTTGTGGTTTGTTTATTGATCCCACACATCCAATTCTGGCAGCATCGCCTCCATCTACCTATTACAGTAGACAAGAAATGTACTTAATCCAGATATAAGCCTACCTGTTTATTGCTTTGCAGAAACTACCTAACTGCTTCCTCTTATTTTGACGGCATAAGATATTTTTATGACTCTCATTCAATTGTTACCATGTACCACATGACCCTTGTAAACATAATTGTGTTTACTGACATGAATAAACGAATTGTAATTTGAGTTCTTGAATTTATTTTAGGAAAGATATCAAATTATTTGAATACATTTTACAGCTTACGTTTCATGTTTTATTATTTCCAAATAAAACTCTTTCAGCGTGCTAAAAACAAAATCCACAGGGTGCTAACGATCCACTTTTTCGATTTTATCCACTAGGATCTTTTTAAAATATCAAGAAGTTGAGCACAAATTCGATAGTAAGCATTTCAACCCACCATAATTCTTGCGCAAAGACAACATTTTGTAAAACGCTCTGATAGCACCTTATATCCAGAAAAACATCACAAACTGCAGAACACAAATTGAACGTAACGGCGAAATGGGTACATTTCACGGCTCATGAAATTCAAATGAAAATGCAGGCATAAAATCTACCAAATTATCGTTCTCAGAAACATATTTCCCTGACATATCGATAATTTTAAAGTTACACGCTAATTTTCCCTATACTTGACTGCAGTGATATCCGATTTCATTCTTCCCATCTGTCGGCAGTTGCAGATAGATCTGTTGGCTCTTGGTGTCAAACCTATAGAGCAGGTACCGATTTTACCAAATCGTGAGCATATTATTCGTCGGATTTTCGTTACGGAAATTTCATGTAATCACCGGGATCAGAAGCTTCTTAATAATAGAACATGTTTCACTGATATCAAAGATGCAACATTTAGAATCACCTTCCCCCAACCCCCACTTTTTAAGCAGTACAATTTTTTTCTGTCAATGATAAGGAACCCCTGTAACGTCAAAAACGGAGTTTCAGCAATAGTTACTTTGTCTTTTTTGCCTATAGCACGGTTGCCGCTGGACTAAAACTACATACTAGTAACCTCGTGTGGAAATTTCATAAAAATCCGAGCGGTTATTTCCAAGTTGATGAGTGATACAGTTTTTCGGGATGTAGATGTCATATGACTTAAAAGACATAACATCTCATTTTAGAAACTTTTCGCGATTACAATACTTCCTCGCCAATGACGTGGGAAGTAAAACGGCTTTAAAATCGAGGAGTATCAGCGATCGCGATTATGAGTACCTATTTGCAGAAGGACTTATCTACGCGATATTATATGAAATAGGGCCACCAAATTATCTGAATACGTCCTTTCTTAATTCGTACATTGCGCCGCAACGCTTGTGTTGGCAGCACGAAACAGTAGACAAAATTCGTCCAGAATACAATTTGTTTGCGCGCTTTATTTTTTGATATTTTTGAATGAAATTTTCACAGAGTGCTGAAAACAAAACCTCACATGATGCTATGGAGCCACTTTTTAATTTTTTTCGCTAGATTCTTTTTAAAAAAATCGCGAGGTTGAACAGAAAAAGTGCGCACTTCAACCCATCATAAAACTTGTGCAAAAACAAAATTTCAAAAAGTGCTCCTATTGCACCCTGGGCAATTATCTTCTCAACATACTGTATGAATTTCATTCAAAAATATTGGAGAATGGAGTGTCAGTTTTGAAGCAGCTGAACCCTTGTAAATGGCTTCAAACTCACTGCGTCGCGTCGTAGCCGCCTTAACAGGAAAAACCCCATGCAACAGTGCAGCTTTAAATGAAATGGTTAGATTACGAAGATTCGTAAGACATTTCAATACCACACAATTCAGAGTAACTACATTTTCATAACCCTCCTATCATAGATAGTTGTTAATAAATGATTGCAACATTTAATATATCAAGAACCCCCGCTTTAATATTAGTGTCCCAGGATTGCACGAATTTAAAAGACGTTAGCTCAACCGCTTATCATTCAGACCAATTTGCTTTCAAATCGATTGCGGTACTCCACAAATTCTGAACGAATACCAAGTCTCGAATAAAAAGGTTTGGAACTGATTTAGGTTTCGTACCGTGATTAAAGCTCCATACTAAATGAGAAAAATTCTTTTCCCATCAAAAATTTCCGAAATAGAATAGCTGAGCTTAAGATATAGAGGTATTCCCAGCTTATCTTTGTATGTCAAATAGAACTAGGTAGTGTTTACTCACTTTCTAAAGGTAATAAATATTTCCGAGTAACAAGGAGTCGCCATAGCATAATTCACACATGGGATAGGTTAATGCAAACATTGACAAGAAAAACATGGATGTTTATTTTAAGTGTTATCATTGGTATTACCTAACTATGGAG